ACCTACTGTTGAACCAATGTTAAAGTTACCTACTGTTGAACCAATGTTAAAGATACCTACTGTTGAACCAATGTTAAAGATACCTACTGTTGAACCAATGTTAAATTTGCCTATTGTTGAGTCAGCATTAGTTAACCTACTCTTGACTCAGCATGAGCTAACCTACTGTTCAGATAGTATTTGTCAAGTTGTCATTAGGTTTAGTTCTGAACCCAAGAATGTATGCCACTTTTTCTCTGATGTTCTTAAAACAAGAAATGTTTCAATATCTTTTTTTTTTCTATTTGAGACAGAAATAGAAAATCTTTCTAATTTCTATTATTGCTAAACATTACTACAAGACAGTATGTTTAAAATTTGGAATGTTTACTTGTCATGTATTAAATCATATGAAGGATCAATCGGTATCAAATTGTCGTTGAAACATTTTATGTGGAATATATTAACTTATGAGGGTTATCCTTGCTAGTAAGTTTTAATTTGAAATTTTATAGATAAAGAATGTAAAAAATGTTCTTCTGACAGTGTACAAGTTTTTACTTATTGTGTACATTGTTCTCAAGCTTATTGCTGCTGTGAAACTTCTTTTTAATGTTTTTCTACAAAAAAATTCACTAAACTGAAACATTATTTTTCCCCCCTTTTTTTCAGCAATGGAACAAGCGACACCTGTTTGAAGATAACTATGATGCTTCATTCTTCTTAGGTACTTTGGATACTGTCTTCATGGTTTCATACTCAATGGTAGGTTTGATTGTATAAGCCTTAATATAAATATGTTACTATCATGGTTTCTACGTAGTGGTAGGTTTAATTGTGTAAACCTTAATGTAAATAAATAATTGTCATGGTTTCTACGTAGTGGTAGGTTTAATTCTTTAAAACCTTAATGTTAATAAATCTCTGCCATGGTTTCTATTTAGTGGTAGGTTTAATTGTGTAAATCTTAATGCAAACACCTTTTTTGGGTCCACATTTTTCTCTTGAGTTCCTTTGAAAGGTGCCAGTAGTGTCCCCTTCAGTTGTTTCTAGCCTCTCAGTGTGGATATATCCAAATATCCACTGTCTTCTTTACTATCGTATGGCTCTGGTGGTTCACTTGGTTCCATACAACTGTCTCTTTCCCTAGACATACTTCTGTTTGGAGCCCTCAAGGTCTCACCTGTATGTCTGTGGTAAGTGCAGCACAAGTGGCACATTGTGTTGCTTTGCACTCGATGTCAACCAATCCTACAGAAACACCATTCCAGCATCTGGCTGTAGAAGAGAGATTTCTGTCTCTTCTTCCTTGAGATGGTGGCTGCTCTGCAATCTTGCCATCATATTCTCTGTTGTCTGTCTGGTCTTCTTATCATGCTCTATTCAGACACCTTCTCTCCTCTTTCTTCCGTCTCCCAATCTAGAGGCACCCACTCCTGAGACCTTTGTTTTCCTGATTCTGAACTTTTTCTTTAAGCCCACAACCACCACATTCGGTTGCTGATACATCATGTTCTGGAAGATCATGCCCTGGTTGTGGATCTGTAGTCTTGCCTTGGCCTTGACACTTTTCACAAAGTGGTTTCTCCATCCTCTGATGTTTTCTGTGGATATACTCCTACTATTGGAGTTCTGTCATCACAGAAAGGTTTCATCTACTTAGACATTTGCCTCCCTTGTGTAGCCATTTTTCCACTCTTCACAATGGCTCTCTGATTATGATTTGTTTCTTTGTCTAATTTCTTTTTCAGCTATCACAACTACTTTATTCAAAATACATTTTTATATACTCCTATTATGGAGATGTTGTACTACCCCCCTCTTCCGTGTGGAAGATGTTTCATCACAAGAAATACTTTGTCTTAAGTGAGGAAATATGGAAACTATTAAGCCTATCCACCCCTACTCAGTGCCTGCTGTTGAGATGGTGTTTCCTGCAAGATTGCTTTGGCATTGTTTATGTATTTTATCTTCTGAGCTGTTCTGCACTTGAGAAACAAAAAAAAGACAGCACTAGATGTCTGCATGCCCTTGCATTTGTCTTGTGTCTGCTATCTTCAGTTGTGGTAACCCATTGCACTGTCTCTCATTGTGGGGACCCTACTCCAAGTGATTGTGCTTGATGACACATCTTTCCAGTGTTCTCCCTCACACAAACTCCTCCTTCCTTATTTGTTGTAGTGAAGTACTGGAGAATCCTTGCTTCTTCAGTCCCAAGATGGAGAGTTCTTCATTGGGTGGTGCAATCCCATTGGTACAAGACCAAGTGGATACACCCTTCGTTTGGGAAGAAGAGATGGGGTGGTACCTATAAAGTAGTAGAGAACACCCTACTACGTTATGAGTCAAGCCATTCCTGGTGGTTCAACCAACTGGATTGGTCTTAGGTTTGCCTCAGGAAACAGATCTTTCTGGGCCTAATTGTTGTGGCGAATATGCCTTCTATATAGAATGGCCTACCCACACCACACACTCATGCTGAGCTAGCTGCCTGTGAGATAATGACCAGTTGAATAATCTTACTATCCATCCACGTTAGTGACATTTTAGTACCATGCACATGATTCTTGTGACATTTTGTTTTGTCCTACTTTTTCTTCTAACAACAGCTATCACAGTACTATTGGGCAAAGAGTATTCTCTGTTTGCGATCTCCAACCTAGATCTGTCTCACTGGACTACTCCCTGCCTAATGTGTGTCACACTCCATGGGCTTTCTCTTTCTCATGCTGTTTCAGAAAAGAGCTCATCTTTGTAATTTTTCTATCTTTGCACTGGCCCCTTCACCATGGGATTCTAGCTTTTGGTGTGAAGGTGGATGGATAATTTATCTGAAGTTCACACTTTTCTTTCATGAAAACATATTTAAGATAATTACTCGCCTCTCTGCACAGCCTCTCACCCTTTTGCTTCTTTTGCCTCGTCTAGAATGAGCCTTTGTTCACATGCTAATACTTATGGGGATTATTGCATATGGAGGGTGTGTTGGTTGAGGGATATAGTGTAATTGTGATTACATCATAGACTGGCACAATTCATGTTGACACGTGTGAAGATAGGAGCCTTACCCAACTGGGGCTTGTGGCATGTGCAGGAATTCACACAGTAGTGCATGTGAGATAATAACTTGTTGTGTATACAAGTTAGTAACTATCTGAAATACATTTTCAGGTAAGGAAAATGCTATTAGAAAGATAACAATTTCATATCTGCATTTGTTAAACCAACTCTCTTGGGCTGATGGTGTTGGAAGAAGTTCTGCACATGTTTATTTATGATTGTGCACATTGCCTGTTGTTCTGTTGTGACAATAATTAGGGTATTTCTTATGCTTTTGTCATAAGTCATAGAATCCTATGAAATAACTTTTAACATACTGTTTTAGTGTTAGCTTCCTATTTTAGGTAAGCTTTGATGCTTTCTTACATTATAAGTTTATCTTATGTTCCAGAGAAATAACAGACTGTGATGATGTTTACCTAACCAGGTTTTAAGACTTTGTTTTTTATCATTTGTCGAAACAACTTTTGTGTGTCTTTCATTAGATTTATTTTGGAAAAATTCTTAATGGTTGTGTTTTTTTTTATCTGCAATATTTTTTGGAAGAAACTTATGAAAGAGTAACTTTAAGTTTTTTGTTAATTTTATTAATTTATTGAAAAAAAAACATGTTAACAAAAAACTTTCAAAATGTGTTAAAGCTGGATAAACTGTATACATGGTATTTTTCTTTGTATGTTAGCTTTATATCACAGGCTAGATTATCCATTTGTTCACTCATTCATAGTTAGCACTGAGTGTAAAACTTGGAGAGGGGGAAATTTTTATTGTTTCTTGTTCCAAATCCATTCACTTACACAAGGGTTCACTAAAAATTTGTTGAGGTCATTGAAAATATACAAAAATGGAGTTTTTATATTGTGTTTATATATATTATAAAATAACTCAAAAACAAGTAAAAAACACAGTTGGTTTGTTTACCAACATTGCATAATATGCTGAACTGAAAGGAATTTCAATTTGTACCATGAATCTCGTACAGGGACTGTTTGTCAGTGGTGCTCTCGGAGATCGATTTGACCTAAGAAAGGTGCTGGCCGTAGGGATGTGGCTCTCGGCAATTATGGTAAGTTCAGACAGAAGATTCTTTGGTGTTTCACAAGATCAGTACACATGATAATTGTTGCTTTTACTTATTGTTTCTTTTGTTTTTTTACAGACTAGAGAATAAAGATGTATATTTTGTACACAGTCTGGTGCCAATAAAATTAGGAATCTGTAACTAGTTGAATTTTCAGCTGAGAATGAAATACCAAGCAGTTTTGCTTATTTGACACACTTGAATGAATGTAATATACAGAAGTGAACTAGAAAATGTTCAGGAAACAAATGTTTGAAACATTTTTACATCCTGTTTTGAATGGTTATGTACGTGTTATGTACACATTCAAGTAAATATGTGCAGCTAATCCTGAGAACTCCTAAAAGTGTTCAGTTTTGAGGGGGGGGCTATGATATGAAAATTTTGAAATATGTAGATGTACATACTGGTTTTGAACGATCCCTTACATTCAATTACCAGTTTTCAGGTAGATCCATGAGTCCAGTCTTGGGAGTCCATAAAATCCCTTTGACCCCCATATGGAGGCTATAAGTTAAAAATTACCAAAATTTGAATTTAAATCATTGTTTTGAATGCCTCTTTACTGTGAATACCAAACTTTGAGTAAATCGATTTCATCAAGCCTGAGAACCCCTAAAATTTAGTTCATTACCAGTTTTAGGGACCCCTCTCAGCTATCTTAAAATTGTTCTTCTTAGCACAAATAGCCCCTTGTCTATGTTTAGTGCTTAAAAACAAACAAACCAAAAAAATCTCTTCTTCATTTATATTTTGTGGGGGATAAAAGCATACATGCCAAATTTTGAATCCTTTTATCAAATATTATGGTAGAAGTTAAAAATTCAAGTACTCATCTATACACAGGTACAATTTAGTATTGCTCTATGGATGTTGTTATTGAAGGAAAATGTTTTTTTGTTTTTAAAAATCAGACTTTCTTATTTGGCACTGTGAGTGGTTGGCTTCACATCTACAACTACTACTGGTATGTGGTCTTTTGGATGCTGGGAGGTCTGGCACAGTCATCAGGATGGCCATGTGTGATAGCCATCATTGGAAATTGGTTTGGTAAGTCTAGGTAAGAATGTGCTTTGTAAACAGTGTTACTTTTTTTGTAAGTGGTGGTTTTTGTGTCTTATTTATCTAAAGTGTTAAATGTGTTTTAAGGATTGTGTTTTTTGAAAGTTCTAAACTTATATCGTATTGATTATAACTATCTGTTGGGAGAGAGGGGGGTGTATAAAAGACATTAAAAATCAAGATTACATGGAAATGAAATTAGAACTAGATTGAATTTATGTTTTAAAATTCCCATAGGTTTCTTTAACACAGGCAGGCCTCTTTGTTGTACTGATAAGAAAAAGCTAGTTATCTTTTTTTTTTAAATGTCCAAATCAGTATTCCATGTTTTTTTATCTTTTTTATTTTGTAGTCGTGGGCTGGTAACTGGGTTGTGGGGAGCATCTCCATCTGTGGGAAACATAATAGGTGCTTATACCGTTGCATCTGTTCTCCATTTTGGTTTTGAGGTAGGTAATAGATGCAGCTGTTAAATGAGTAATGTGGTTCTGGTTTTAAAATGTGAACCAGAAAATATTATACCTCCTTTATTGCAGAATGAGTTGTAAAATAATAGTGTGTTATTATTTGAAATACCAGCATGAAAGAGTGTAGTTTAAGTGAGAGAAAAGATGCTATTTCACTTTATAACTGTCACCTTATTTTTTATGGTAAATATTTATTTGGTAAAAATATATGAAGAACTTAAAAAATAAAATCAAAAATACTTTTTTTTTGTGACACTGATGTAATGACATTCTTAATAATCTTGTATATATATTGTATTACCTGTCTTTTATTGAAAGATTTCATTTTTTTGTGAGTTCTTCTAAAGAGAGAAAAAATACTCCATAAAATCAAGAAGTAAACATTCAGAATTTTGTACTTTACAATAACAATGTTTCTTTGTTACTTGATAAAGAAAGAAGCTTGAATTACCTCAATAAAACAAAAGCAGGTACGTTTCATCAAAAACGTATTTAAAGTGAATTTTTTCTTCTTTAGTATGCCTTCTTAGTTCCAGCTTCATTGATGTTCAGCTGCGGTGTTGTGGTTTATTTCAGTATTATTCCTTCTTCTCGTGATGTAGGTAAGGTTCTATCTTGACCTAGTTACGTAACAGAACAGTAAGAAACTGATGACTTAGATTAGTTGGTCATCTGTTGTTTATCCCAGTTTATCTGAAAAGTTTGTTAGAGTCAGTTGATTATTATAAAAGGCTTAATTCAGACTATAAGGATATACATTACTGCTAAGTGACAGCATGGTGTAAAAACCATAATTTTTAGAATCTGGAAATTGAATCATGTCAGTCTTTCATTGTGTTGTCATTTATATCCTATGAAGTTTTATCTGATCAATGTAGTATGTCTGTTAGGTTTGCCAGAGACTTGTGATGATAAGTCAGATAAAGAACCTCTACTTGGGACCAGTCTTGTAGTCTCAGATACTGTTAGCTCTGATAGCAAGGAATCACTGTCTAGACCTGATGCAGTGAGCTTCAGTTATGCTGTATTCATTCCTGGTGTAATACCTGTAAGTACAAGCTAATACTGTTGAAGATTTACGTTTATTGAAACAGATGCAGTTAATTTTCTAGCCTCAGTACAAAATAATAAACAAGCAAGTCTTTAAAGCTTCAAAACAAAACTTATAAAGTAAAAAATAACAAGTACTCAGCAAATAGTCATTCACACAAAGATTCGTATATTCGTAAAAATATTTCTTCTTGTTTATCACCAAGTTAAAACTAACATTGAAACTAAAAAACTAGTCTTAAAAAGAGCATAATCCTTAAGCATGAATGCCATGTAACATTACTATTACTGATGAAGGTTTGGTGATAGTTAGTTGAGCTGAGGACGGACAGCAAAATTCAAGAGTTTGGCAGTTACAGATCTGAAGCGAACACTAAACTGACAGTCTGTAAGCTAATATAGTATAATTCTCTTCACACATACACTCACGTTACCATTAAGTAGATTGGTAGTTAATGTATTGAGTTTGTTTTATAACTATCTACTCAGATGGTAAACTTAACAAACATATTGTCTATCTAGGTTATATAAATAACGGTAGAAGTATTTTTGCCTCTGTATGTCACACACACACACACTCTTAAATCTGTACAGAAGAAAGGATAAACAAGTTGACAGACTATCACATCTCAAAACTTTTCAAATGTTACACACTTTTACCAGTCGATGAAGATATAGAAGACAACAAGATGTGTGATAAAAATACATCACCATCCTTTCCATAACATTTTCTTTTATATCAAACGTTTCCTGTTTTGTCTCAAAACTTTACAATAAACAAAGATTTATATGGGCTTCCTTGGCTTTTTAAATACATTTTTCAACCCTGTTTAGGCACCAAATTGCTGATGGGTCAATGGGTTTGTTGGTTACAGGGCCCTTAATGACATATGCATCAAACAAAAGTACTATCAATCTCACAAAAGAAAACTAGTAACCCGAGTGCTTTGGTAAAATGGACTTTCCTTCATCAGTGGTAAATAAATTAGCCAATAATGAAAGGTCTACTTTCCAAAAGCACCCACGTGATTAGGTTTCTCATGTGATGTAAATTTTTTTACTGTTTATGATGCATGGTTTTTGAATATCTTCAGAGAATACCATCGGTATATTCCAATAAACCTCACTCGTTAGTGCTTGGGTTCCCTCTGTATTTTACATATAAGTTCAGTAACCACAATGCTCTCAAGTTAAAACTTAATACCTACAGGTGTGAGATGACTCGGCATGCTATTTCTAAGGGGGGTCTGGGGGCATGCTGATGCCGTCTCAGAAAATTGTGAGCCAAAAGTGTTGTTAAAAGCATTGGTTCTGCACAAATTTAAAAATAGGAAACTTTTTTTTTAATGGTGTGTGTATGTATGTATGTATGTGTGCAAAAACCCTTGCACCCCCCAAAAAAAATTTTTAAATCCTCTTACATTTCTGACAGCTATTTAAACAGCATTCTAACAGAAAAGCAAAATTAGTGAATGTCATGTGGTAATGAACTGTATAAAAACAAGTAGGTAAACTAAGGGTTAAAGCTGTTTTATATATATATAAGTAGATCAGTGATATTTTATACTTCTTATATTGAAGCAGTTGAGAACAAACATTCACCACTTTCTTATATTTAATTGTATATGTCAAAAGTCATGAAGGATAATTTGAGTCAATGTTTATATCTTGTGTTATGAAGTGTATTTCTATGTTACATTTCTTTTTTTGTTGACATATAACTCTTACTTGAATAGAGAATGTTTCATACCAAGTAATTCATAGATTTTCAAAACTCTGTAAGAGCTTCGTAAGGGGAGAAGTGACATATACTAAAGAATCACTGATGGTGCAATATGTTTATTCTGAAGCAGTCGACTAATACAAATATTTTTTTCTCGTAACTACTGCCTTTGTTTCCAGATAATTGTTTTATATTTACCAAGAAGTATAGGAAACAAAAAATATGTCTCTCCTAAAGTAACGTAACGCGAAATGCGAGTCTTACACTTGTCAATAATGACAGTATTTAATCCAGAAAAACTGTGGAGTTTTAAGTTGCAAATGTTGTTGAAATGAGTTTTTTCTGTGGTAACTCAGAAGTATATGTTTAAATTCATATTGTATTTTCAGGTAATAAAAGTAAATACTTAGATGTATACAAGTTTACTTTTCAATATTTGAACTAAATTTTAAATATTTTGTAATATTTATTTGTACATTCCAGATATATTAAACTCTCATTCTCCTTTTTTTGTCACTTTATTTAGTACTCATTATCGTATGCCTGCCTCAAGATGGTCAACTATTCTTTCTTCTTCTGGCTACCTTACTACCTTCAGAGTAAATATGGTTGGTCAGAAGCAGTAGCAGATCGCCTATCTGTATGGTACGATATGGGAGGAATTGTGGGCAAGTGTTAACTACTGATGGTTGTATTTCTCTGTACTTGTATAGCTAAGTCAGTAGCATCTTTATTTTATCTGTCATTTAGTTGAAATATCACTCATAGGTGTAGCAATTGTGACGAAACATGGTGTCATTTTTTTTTCTCCATATTCTTCATAATTTGTTCTTTATGGATTTCACATCTGAGGTACGAAAAATAGCCTTTCAAATCTTTTCATCTTCAACACTTAATTGTTTTATTGTATTTTCTAATACATTTTCAAGGCTTATAAAGTGTTAGTTCAGATCTTAATTCTGATTATTAATTTAATCAATCCAAAAGTAAATCACATTTTACACAGTTTTCATTTAATATTGTTAGATTACACAGTTTTCATTTAATATTGTTAGATTACACTATTTTCATTTAATATTGTTAGATTACACTATTTTCATTTAATATTGTTAGATTACACTATTTTCATTTAATATTGTTAGATTACACTATTTTCATTTAATATTGTTAGATTAC